TTAATGGAAATGTTCGTCAACCAACAGACTGGTCCAACTTCACCTTCAAGCAATCCGATTCATACCATGCTACCATCTGTCGACGGCATTGTGAATAGTATTTCACAGTTCAGTTATGATCCAGATGCGAATGTCACTTTTGACTCACGGTATCAACGATATGAGGATTTATTCACAGTTGATCTCGCCTCACAAGACGATGCTTGGAAAGTGCGAGTGTTATTACGTAATTTGGGTCCCGCAGAATATGAGAGGTACTGCAACCTAATTTTACCCCAAAAACCACGTGACAAGTGTTTCGATGATACAATAAAGCTGCTGTGTGAACATTTTGGAGACGACTCCTCATTATTCAGCATACGTTATCGTTGCCTCAAGCTGACAATGAATGAAAATGATGATTTTCTTACTCACGCTGGCACAGTCAACCGAGAATGTGAGAGATTTCGACTCAGGTCCTTAACAGATGATCAATTCAAAGGCTTGATTCTCATATGCAGTCTTCAATCTCCTCGTTTCACAGATACCCGAACTCGACTGCTCAATCAGCTAGAACAAAATCCTAAGTTAACATTACATGACATAGCTGATGAATATCAACGGCTGATTAATTTGCAGAAAGACACACACCTGGTCGAATCAACACCTTCGCGAAGCTCTGATATTCATGCATTACGAAAGAGCAAAAATCTCTCATCATCCACTCCTGACCCACCTACTTCTCCTAATGTTCCGCGTAAATCTACACATACTCGTCCAACTTCACAAAATACTACAAAGAAGACCCCACCATCACCATGCTGGCACTGCGGCACGTGGCACTTTGTAAAGTCTTGTCCGTACAAAAATCATCGTTGCTGCAAGTGCAAAATCATTGGTCATAAAAATGGATTTTGCCAGCCACGCAAACTCAAATATCAAAATACAGCGAAAGCTCGACCAACTATTGGTCCTAAATCTCCAAGGAGATCATTGAGTCTAGTCGCAACCTGTCAAGTCACAACACCAGGTATGCGGAAATATCTTGATCTTCAGATGAATGGCCATGATGCGCGTCTGCAGCTAGATACCGCCCCTGATATTACTGTTATATCAGAGAAACTTTGGAATAATATTGGCAGACCACCAATCGCAAATACTTCTCAGACTGCTGTCATCGCCTGTGGTGGGCGCCTCAAACTTATTGGTGAACTCAAATGTTCCGTTTCCTTCCGCAATACCAAATTCACAGGAATTTGCTACGTCACCAAGAGTGATTTAAATCTTTTGGGACTTGATTGGTTCAATCGTTTGCATCTGGCTGATGTCCCACTAAATTCTCTATGCAATGCAGCCAAGAAACATAAAATGCCAGACAATTTTGGACGAAGTCAAAGCCACAAACCCAACTGGCAGACGAAGCGACAGACGTCAACAACAAGCTCAACGGTTCCAGATAAACCCCCAGGAAAACACGCTATTAATCATCAATCTTCTCAAAAGGGGAGGTGATATATATCCATATAATATGTGTGTTTGTTTGACAGTCTGATATATTTTGCTATGTATATATGGATCGATATTCCATTATAATTAACCAATCATGTTAAGACTGTCTATTGATTTGTTCATTTTGAATATTCGCTCACACACTTGTGTTCACACACTCGTTCGGACATTCTCATATTTTTGCTCTCACACACTTGTGTGACATTGATTCTCCTGGTGTTTTGGAAAATAGAAGTATCATCGCAAACCTAGTGGTCTTCTGATTTCCGCCTTTCTTGTGTCAGGACTATAAATCTCTCGACCAGTACATAACAATAATTTGGCGATGGGAAAAACTATGGATCCTTCTAAATTGGAATAACTATTTGAACGACAAATGAAATTAATGGAAATGTTCGTCAACCAACAGACTGGTCCAACTTCACCTTCAAGCAATCCGATTCATACCATGCTACCATCTGTCGACGGCATTGTGAATAGTATTTCACAGTTCAGTTATGATCCAGATGCGAATGTCACTTTTGACTCACGGTATCAACGATATGAGGATTTATTCACAGTTGATCTCGCCTCACAAGACGATGCTTGGAAAGTGCGAGTGTTATTACGTAATTTGGGTCCCGCAGAATATGAGAGGTACTGCAACCTAATTTTACCCCAAAAACCACGTGACAAGTGTTTCGATGATACAATAAAGCTGCTGTGTGAACATTTTGGAGACGACTCCTCATTATTCAGCATACGTTATCGTTGCCTCAAGCTGACAATGAATGAAAATGATGATTTTCTTACTCACGCTGGCACAGTCAACCGAGAATGTGAGAGATTTCGACTCAGGTCCTTAACAGATGATCAATTCAAAGGCTTGATTCTCATATGCAGTCTTCAATCTCCTCGTTTCACAGATACCCGAACTCGACTGCTCAATCAGCTAGAACAAAATCCTAAGTTAACATTACATGACATAGCTGATGAATATCAACGGCTGATTAATTTGCAGAAAGACACACACCTGGTCGAATCAACACCTTCGCGAAGCTCTGATATTCATGCATTACGAAAGAGCAAAAATCTCTCATCATCCACTCCTGACCCACCTACTTCTCCTAATGTTCCGCGTAAATCTACACATACTCGTCCAACTTCACAAAATACTACAAAGAAGACCCCACCATCACCATGCTGGCACTGCGGCACGTGGCACTTTGTAAAGTCTTGTCCGTACAAAAATCATCGTTGCTGCAAGTGCAAAATCATTGGTCATAAAAATGGATTTTGCCAGCCACGCAAACTCAAATATCAAAATACAGCGAAAGCTCGACCAACTATTGGTCCTAAATCTCCAAGGAGATCATTGAGTCTAGTCGCAACCTGTCAAGTCACAACACCAGGTATGCGGAAATATCTTGATCTTCAGATGAATGGCCATGATGCGCGTCTGCAGCTAGATACCGCCCCTGATATTACTGTTATATCAGAGAAACTTTGGAATAATATTGGCAGACCACCAATCGCAAATACTTCTCAGACTGCTGTCATCGCCTGTGGTGGGCGCCTCAAACTTATTGGTGAACTCAAATGTTCCGTTTCCTTCCGCAATACCAAATTCACAGGAATTTGCTACGTCACCAAGAGTGATTTAAATCTTTTGGGACTTGATTGGTTCAATCGTTTGCATCTGGCTGATGTCCCACTAAATTCTCTATGCAATGCAGCCAAGAAACATAAAATGCCAGACAATTTTGGACGAAGTCAAAGCCACAAACCCAACTGGCAGACGAAGCGACAGACGTCAACAACAAGCTCAACGGTTCCAGATAAACCCCCAGGAAAACACGCTATTAATCATCAATCTTCTCAAAAGGGGAGGTGATATATATCCATATAATATGTGTGTTTGTTTGACAGTCTGATATATTTTGCTATGTATATATGGATCGATATTCCATTATAATTAACCAATCATGTTAAGACTGTCTATTGATTTGTTCATTTTGAATATTCGCTCACACACTTGTTCGGACATTCTCATATTTTTGCTCTCACACACTTGTGTGACATATTGATTCTCCTGGTGTTTTGGAAAATAGAAGTATCACCGCAAACCTAGTGGTCTTCTGATTTCCGCCTTTCTTGTGTCAGGACTATTAATCTCTCGACCAGTACATAACAGTCTGTCCACTAATTAAATAATCATGTATGACCTTGTTGTCACATGACATTACAACCAGTCATGTTAAGATTGGCTATTTATTGGTTCATGCGTACGGGGCATTTTCATACATACTTTTGTACTATACACTTATATACATTCTTCTTCCCACGTTTCGTACATACGTACCATTTCACTCAAACTCTTGTGTGACATTTATTTTTCCTTGTCTGGAAAATACAATATCATCGTAACCCTGGTGGTCTTCTGATTCCCTTTTTTCCGCGTCAGGACTATTCACTACTCGACGAGTACATAACAGATGTGTTAGTATCTCACTTATGTTATCCCCAAAGAATTTCATTTGTAAGAACAAGGCATTTTTCAGAACTGTTGGTAACTTGGGCCGCTTTGATTTTAGATTCATATTCTTATCAATAATCTTTTCTGGATAACCATTTTCACCGTTTAATATTATTAAGTTCCTCATCAAGACATTTATCCGAGAAGATCGCTCTTGCTTTGTGAACCAATCACTTCAAGATATTGCGTTTATATTTCAAGGGCACGAAGCTGAGAAAATGAGTTTACTGACCACTTGATATAGGTTTTCTATAAACACTTTTTCTTATTGTACCATCCTCTTTTCTGGTCATAAGGATGTCTAAAAATGAAATACTAGAGTCTTTTTCTTTTTCAATAGTGAAATTTATTGCAGGATGAACCTCGTTAAATTCATCCAGGATGTCCTTTGCTTCCTTCTCATTTTTCGTAATCAAAAATTTATTTTATTTTGATTACAGCTTGATGCCGCACCGTATTTTCGGTACAAGTATGGAGTTTTCAGAATGTGATATCGGTAGCCCAAATTTTGCAGGCCGACCGTAGATATCAGGTGTGCATCGGCAGGGGTTCGAACCCCGGACCATATGCATGGTCGGCGAGAGTCCTAACCACTGTGCCACTGACGCACATCCATGTACCGACAATAGAATTCGAGTTCATCAATACCATTCTTCAAAGGCCCATTTCCTAGTCTCGCAAGTAAAATGTCGGCTAGAATGGATCCTAGTGATGACTCCATTGCAACACCGTAGATTTGTCTGTTTAGTTCTTTATTAACTAAAAAGCGGACATTATTTCTGTGTTTTTTGTAGCTTTGTGTGGTACGCAGATTGTGGCAACTTGAAAAACCGCCCTCTCGTACAGAGTTGTATGCTAAAACTTAGTCAGTCAGTCAGTGAGTCATTCAACTTAAACGGACAAAATCAAAGGTGAAAATCTTTTTGAACTAAGTCAATGTTTTGTTAACACAGAAAACAATTAAGTTAGTAAAAACAAAATTAACTAACTGACTAACCGAACTCCATGATGTTGTTCTCCAAGCCGGAACACGTAAATTGCATGGATCTTTTTCACACGGTAATACAATAGGCTCATTTATATCCTCTATCTTCAAAGGTACAGCATGCTTGTCGAGTATTTGTCTTTCAATAGTTTCCACATAAACAGTACTATTCATCTTGTCAACTGATAATCGTGGAATATACTGAAGACTTTGTAAGCATTTTTGACTACTGACAGTGTCGATTCCGTCGAGTACAATCTGCCTATCAATTGGATTATCAGTTTCATATTTTAATTGGATACGTTCACATGGTATTTTAATATGTTGAATTCCTGTTCCACAGGTGACAGAGCACTAAATAAATGTAAATAAATTCTGTTAACATTTAAGGGATTAAAATTTTCTGTAAAATAATTTTCTGGTATATACGATGAATAAAAAAATATTTGGATAGACTAGTGACTAGAACCAACATTTGGTGATACAAATGTAACGGGAGAAGACGAGATACTTGGTAACACACCATATTTATGCCTTTTAAGCCCAATTTAAGATCGGCAAGGTCAGTGGATAATAAATTGTTCTGATTGGTTGTGGAATTTCTGAACGTCAAAACCTTGAGAAGAACAGTTATTCAACGAGATTATTTCGTGACCACAACGTAAGCAAAATCCAGATTTGTGGGATAAACACTTCTAGTTCGGTAGCCACTGACTTAAAATGTTATTTTACAGTTTTGACTGCTTCCTATCAGTCTGCGTCTTTATATACTGCTGGTAAGTCTTGTCACTATCATACGCCACACACAAACACCTTAAGATATTAATGTTTGTGATGGCTTCACGATATAAAAAGTGGTCACTCGTTGTCATCAGCTAGAGAATTGATAGATATCAAAGGAGAGGCGTTGAGTGAAGAGTTGCTCCTCTTTTCGGCGATATCATTCTCAGGCTGTACAGCCGCATATGTATATAATAAATTCTTTTAGCAACAAGAGGAATATTTCCAAAGATGTGTCATTAGAATCGGCGGGGTTCAGTAGAACCCAAATGAAACTGAACGATAGTCATGTTAACAACAGTGGTAACAGGAGTGAGAGATTTACTAAAGGGTGGGGGGGGGAAGAAAATAATACAGCCAAGATCATAATAATTGAGAATGTAAAGCTGATATATCCGTCTAAGCCCTTTGAACATGAGAAAAATGATGTCACATGCCACTGTATTTACCGATTTGAATGTATGTGTGGACACAAATACACAGGGAGGACTCATCGATTTCTGAAAGTAAGGACTTCAAAGTATATTTCTAAATGGCTTTAGAAGCAAATATAATCCTCAGAATCCATTAATGGTGAGAATAGCGGACCTAGCTCCTGTGTTGCAAAACGTATTATTGAGAAAGAACATAATATTGATGTTTATATGTCTTTAAAACCTGTGTATAGAAGGTGTTTGGGACGTACCCTAGAGTTTGTGCAAGCCCTTTATGCATTCAAAGCAACAATTCGTCATCACATTAAACCTTTCTTGTTAGATTTTGTTTTGATACCATAGCAGATGTACTATTACATCTCTTATTCGGTTGAGTGATCTTCATTGTTATTTTGACCTTCAATATGTTCTTGTAACTTGACCTAAGTCTATTTTCTCACCTCTTAACTCTGTACTAATTTCATATATATTCATTCCTAAGACAAGTCCATGTGTATGATCAGATTGTTCGAAATGTGTTGCGCAAATACACATTACACATATACACACGATTCAGACAAATTATGTCTTCTTCTTGTTTTGTCTAAATTCATACAGGGAACTAAATGTTTTGAACAATTAAGAAACAAAACACAAAAATTAACACTAATTACGTAATTTTTGTGTTTCTTTCTTCTTTCAAGCCTTGTTAAATCTCGAACTCCTATTGCCACTGTTGTTAACATGATTGCCGTTCAATTTTAGTTGAGTTCTACTGAACCTCGCCGATTATATTACATCACTAAACTTACTTATCTAAGTTTATTCTAGCTCCTACCCGATTAACGCTTTCTACATTACGTAATCTACGAGTTGATCACGGATTGATATCAGCTGGAGAACCATTGAAAACCAGGGAGTACTGGACAGCTCCTGTTTCATCCTAGTTTGGGAATCATCGGCAGTACGCCGATCAACTCGTAAAAAACAAAACTAACCCTTAGTAACCAAACTACAGAAAACTATGTAATTTGGTATTTAAAACAAAATTCACAATTATAGTGACACATCTTTGGAAATATTTCTCTTGTTGCCAAGAGAATTTATTATACATATATATATATATATATATATATATATATGCGACTGGGATCTCTGAGAGCGAACCAACCAGGAACCGATTGTGCAACAAATAAGCAGGAAGAAATGGAGGTGGACTGGCCGTACACTGAGGAAACCATCAAGTGACGTCACTAGACAAGCCATCGCTCGAGTGGAACCCGAAAGGGAAGCGGCTAGTTGGTCGTCAGTGCGAGGGTGACTTGGAGGAGGTCATGTGAAGGGGAGATGAAAGCATGTGAACAGACTTGGAGCGGGGTGAAAACTTTAGAAGAGAACCGAACGCAATGGAGACGTGCAGTTGAAGCTCTATAATCTTCTAGGAATTAAAGGAAATAATAATAATATGCGACTGTACAGCTTGAAAGTGATAACGCCGAAAAGACGAGTAACTCTTCCCTGGACGCCTTTTCTTTTATACCAGAGGGAATTGAACAGATTATTTCGTTTACATCTTAGACTTTTTAACACTGTACAGTATCTCCTTTACAAAGAATCAAGAACAATCCAGTTTTTCTGTGGCTAAAAGTTAGTTATCATTAAGCCAAAATCAAATGATTCATGATTTCTAACTCCCGCCATTATTATCCACTTCGTTAAGTGAGTAATTTTCTTCGCAACCAGTTATGTGAACTTCTTAGGTTAATAATATTCCTTTTCGGATTCCTAGTTGAACATAAGGCTTCAAGAGTACATCTTCATATCATGCTACTTCGTACAGTCCTCTTTTTAGTTGGCTCCAAGTCTGTTCATAATCCCTTAATCCACGTCACTCTCAACGCATCCAACTAATCGTTTCTTATTTGGTTTTTACTCGAACACTCTAAGCATTATGGCTTAGAGAAAATTTGGTGCCAGATATTCGGTCAATAATATTTTTTGTAGTCTTATCTTGTCGTCTAGCTGTCACTATCGTCCTCTCATTACGTCATCTGACCATGAATGACTTCAGTTTGTCGTCAGATTAACTGCTTTTGTTTGCAACCTGAAGGGATTTATGAGATATACATAAGAATTAGTATTCGACCATTTTAAACATTTTATAATGTCGTTAATTGTCTGACGATGAAAGGTAATGCAAGCGTGCAATTATTAAGTGTCCATGTGAAAATCATAAGTGCGTTTGTGATTAACAGAATGCTAAACTCCTCAACAAATGTCCCGGGAAAAACAATTGAGGATTACCACTTACACACTTGTGGTGTATTTATTCACAAAAAAGATATTTCGATTAAGATGTGTTAAGACTTTGAACAGTCCTGAGTCAACACAATAGGGCATTCATCGTCAGTTAGCACACAGTTACTCGTTACTTCTATACAACCTGAGGTCGTAAACAGATATGTTTGTCTGGTTATTCCTACGAAAGATTTTAATTGAAGAAAGTAAAACTATGAGTAATCGTAGCCTACGAATTAGTAGTTCCCAGTTTACAGATGCAGTGATGTGCTGACTAAGTTTCGAACCTGTTCATTTTGTAACAAAGACGTAATTTATCTTCAGTTTTTTGACCAGCTTCTTTTCTGATACATATTTCAGATAAACCGATGTTCATTCTTCACGGGAGAATCTGAATAATCAGATATTTTCTTCAACTATTTGTTTGTAGGGATTTGATTGATAGGTTACAGGATTTCATAGTGAATTAACCATCGGTTAGAGAATCACTGTGAGTATTGGGCAGCTGTTTCGTCAGCCTAGTTTAGGACTCTTCATCAGGACGCACTCACTACATGCGTTCGAACCGAGGATCTTCTGGTTGCAAAGCGAGTCAACTTGTAGACCACTAAGTCACTGGGACTCTATCCAATGGCTAGTTCATGAATTCTAACTTCTGCCAATTGATGACCCAGCGCGGCCACCCAGCCTGCTGCACCCTACTGGTCACGACTTCCCACTAGAACCCCAGGTAACTACCTACCTGAATAGAGCCAGTTGCTAGTGAGCTTTGTAACCCGAAGTTTCTGGGTTCTAACCGGGGCGCTGGGCGAGTAATGATGAAGAGTCCCAAACTGGAACGAGACAGCAAGTCAGGAATCCTACTTAGTTTTCCAGTGGTTCTCTAACCAATGTCAGCCCACGACGAGATATTTGCTTGTTATCTTTTTAAGAATATTCTACTTGCAGACCATTAAGCCACTAGGACCCGATTCAATGGTTTATGAATTGTAACTTCTTCCAATTTATGATATAGCACGACCAATTTGCAGTGCCTTCTTCTTGGATGAGTTGTTACCTCACCTTCAACTTGCTATAACCTACTGGTCACGGCTTCCCACTAGAACCTCAGGTAACTGCCTGGAAATCCTCCAACCAATCAGACAAAATCCCTAAAAAAACCAATACTTGAAACTAGTCATTTTTCAGTCTTAAGAGCGTTTCGTGACTGTATGTCCCGAAAAAGTTACGGTAGAATGCAGAAATCGGTTTCCTACCTTTTTTTGTCGAGACGAAGATACTCCGTTTGATTGATGCATACCTTTAGAGTTAGATCAACCTTTTACCAACTTGTTTTTTTGCATTATATTTTAAATATCAGAAGGATATTACTGAAATGTAATAAGTAGCTTGTACACTCTAAATTGACAACCCTGATGGCTTAGTAAACTTGTATTATTGTAATCGGTGTGAAATGGAAATTTGATTTACTGTGCCATTTTAACTTTCAGTCTTTGATTTATACAAGCTAAGGTGGATTACGAGCTGCGGATCATTATTATCTCAGTGTCAGTCATCACTGCAAGCTGTATAAGGCGCTAGACTCAAGTTTTAATCCACAGGGTGGGCACAGTAGTAGGACGCTTGGCAACTACGCCGTATGTGGTTCGAGGTTCGATCTTCGACTGTCGCACTCCTTTACCTCGCTAAACCAGTATCAACACTGGTAAAGAGGGGAGGTTGGAGGGGCATGAGGCTAGCAACCCCATCCAGTGAAAACAAACACCACAGCTACCGAAACCTCAAGCCTCTAGCTTGGACGTATCCTATGTTCCACTGGGAACGTAAAGGAATAAAATTATTATTATTATTGAAAAAAAAGATTCATCACTAGGTCTAAACTGTTTCTCTAGGAAACCTGGTAGGACGCGGAGCATAAACACATAATAACAGTCAACTTTGCTTTAGAAACAGTTATTGTATTACTTTATTATTATTATTATCATCATTATTAGAAAGTTTTAAAAACTTACAGACGTCATCTGTCCAAGTCCCCATCTATAGCAGACAGGCTGGCTACATGCTTCACGATCAATAGGCTCCTCGATCAACTCTCCGAGTATACTTGCTTTACGACAAAATTCCATATTTAACCTCTTCCCCTGGATCACATATTCTGATGTTAATTGTTCCGATTCTATATACTGATTCAGAGATGGATGATAATTTTCATTACTGTTGAGAATAATACACGAGACATTACGATAGTGGACACCGATTATTTTATTCACTGCACTCTTTTGATCAGCATCACTATCAATCAATCGACATGAAGATTTCATTTTCTCATCTAACGGTTCACATTCTGACCATTGACTTGTAAACCAGACTATATCATTTCGACAATCGGTTAAAGAGAAGCAGTCGATAGATTCTTCAATGAATAAATTATACTCAGCAGAAGCAGAAGGTGATTTCTCTTGGTATTCTTCAATCATTTTTATTGCTGATTTTGTAGTGATAGCATGTCGTGGAGCTTTTGAATGTTTCAACTCAGATTCACTGTGCGTTAAACATTCACTAAGCGGCCAATTTTGGCCTATTTGATCTTGACAGTGAAGAGATCGTTTGCGTTTTCCATTACCACAAGAGTTTGTGCACTAAGAAAAGTAGTGGTTGAAATAAATATTTTACTATGATTACTGATATCGATTAGAAAAAAATGAGTTTAGTCTTTCAATTCGTTGAAAAATGTTTCTTTTTACGCATGAGTTCTCGGGTTTTGCAAAGTATCATCTTGAAAATCACTACAAGAAGTCTTCTGTCACCGGGAATATGCGGGGGAGAAGCATCTCTTAATATAGAGTCTACAACTCAGATGTTGTCTCGATTTCGGTGTGATAATCAACAGGATAGTTTTCTTGATATGCTAATTACTATTTTTTTCTATAGCTTGGTTTGAAAGGGTTAGTTTTGTTTTTAAGAGTTGATCACCGATTGATATCAGCTAGAGAACCATTGGAAACCCGAGAGTACTGCACAGCTGTTTCACCGGTCTAGTTCGGGAATCATCGGCAGTACGCACCCACTGCGCTTCGAACCCAGAACCTTCTGGTTACAAGGCAAGCTGGTATACCATTCAGCCACCCCTAAGACCCGATTCAGTGGCCAGCCAATCCAGGAATTCTAATTTCTACCAATTCATGATTTAGCACGACCGCAACGATTGTCGTCGGTGGGACATCCATGCTCACATGTGACCTCTGGATAAACCTCATTGGTCACGACTTCTTACTAGCACTCCAGGAAACTCCATCCTGTAGCAAATCACTAGCGAGCATCATATTAATTTTCTATAGTTTGGTTGGTAAGGGTTAGTTTTGGTTTTTTCGAGTTGATCACGGATTGATATCAGTTAGAGAACCATTGAAACCCAGGGAGCCCCAGAGGGGGCGTACTGTGGATGATTCCCAAACTAGGATGAAATAGCAGCTGTCCAGTACTCCCTGGTTTTCAATGGTTCTCTAGCTGATATGAATCCGTGATCAACTCGTAAAAATTACTCTTTGTACTTTCGAAGTAAATTAATATGATAAGGAAGACGGTGATGAGAAGTTGTAAATCCTTTGAGTAAATCAGTAGTTCTAGTTATTTCACACAATATAAGAAGACGTAGTTTATCTGAAACGTGTAATGTGCATGCATATTTACACAACACATTACGGAATTCTAATCACTCATATACTTGTCATTTACGTTGTATAGAAGACAAGAAGGCATGAATTATTACAATACAGGTCAGATTGTGTACATGTCAAGGTCACAAATGATGAGTAGGGAGATGGCGCAAATGTGTGTAAGAAAGAAAGAAAGCCGGCAACGAGGCCTGTGCTGTCCTGTAAACCCTCACAGCATGCGAACGATACTGTCACATCCCAATGTGTTTATCACTTTACATGTGTGTGAGGACTCATCAGTCTCTGCAGGTTAGGGTTACAGAACAAATTCCTAAGTGGCTGCAACAACATCTCGCTAGCCCACCGTACCAGAAGAATTGGTAGCGATGAATGTTTAGAAGAAGAGCTTCTATTTCTCGAAAGCATGCTGGTTCAAAATGGATATCCACCGAATTTCGTGGAGAAGAACATGAAACCAAGACCAAAAAAGATAAGAATACACTTCACTCCAAAAGAAAGCCTTATATTTGAATCTGGAATTCAGGGGAGACCTAGTAGCAGATATCCTTTAAAGGAGAATCTCCAATTCCCTGAAGAAGACTTTTCGAGAAGCAATTCTAAGAGTGATATTCTCTAGCCGCCCACCACTTCGGACCAATGGGAAGGACAGACTTCCGCATATGACCACTTCAATGTGCATATATCAGTTTACCTGCTCTTGTGGAGCTAGGTACATAGGTCGTTCTATGCGGGTCTTATCAAAACGTGTTAGAGAATATCATCCAGCATGGCTGCAAAGAGGTGGCACTGGTTCAATCAGAAGCGCAATAACTGAACATCTCATCAACACCTGTCACAGTACGTCAACCGACACATCATTTAGAGTCATTTACAAAGTAAACAAAAATCTACTAAAGGCAGTGTGTTTCGAGCTTCTTTGTACTACGGAAGCTCTCGCCATATGCATCGAAAAGCTGGAGCTATGTGTTTAAAAGAAACTAGTCCAGCCTTTACAACTACCATGGACCTTGTTCGGTATGTTCCCTTATCCTTCGTTTTTTTGTATTGTTCTCTGTGTGTGTAATTTTCTCTCTTTGTCTTCATTCAATTCATCCTATTTTTTCAGTTATAAAATCAGTTAATTTAAGTTTGTTTCCATGCTCCTCCTGATCACACTCGTAATCCGTTTAGAATAACCATTTTACAATTATATTCTAATCCTGTGTGGCTTTTTTGTTTCTCTGCCTCTTGTTATCCCTATTCACACCTCCTAACTTACATTTCAAGTTGAAAATTTTGATTTCAATTTGTTTCCATTCTCATTTTGTTCACACCTGTAATTCATTCTATCACTGCGTCTCTAAGTCTCTTGTAATTCATATCAAGTTGAAAATAGTTGTCACTTTTTATTCGCCTTTGAAATTATTACTCCACTTATCGAATATTAATTCCGCATAAGTTGTAACTGTTTTCTAATCCTATACTACCTTGTCTCTAAGCCCCTTGTAATCTACATATTCGTACCTTCAAACTTGCATATCAATTTCAAAATTATTATCGCCTTTGTTACTATGTGGAATTAAAGAAATTAGAATTGCATCCATGTAAACTAATCTATATAAATGCGATTGTAGGTCTTTTGAGAATGAAATCACCGAAAAGTCAGATATCTGTTTGCCGAAATTCTTGTTCTTTTCAACAAATAAAATCGCTAAATATAATTGATCCCGGAAATAGATGTCCAACATCGTCTATAGCGAAGCACATTATAAAGACGAGTCATATAAGTTTGATTTCAACAATGCCTTTAAGCGCATATATAAAACAAGGTAGAGTCACATACTTAAATTCGTTGAAGCCTTGGTCATGAAAAGACTTAAACCTGTCTTGTGTCCAAAAGTTATTTGTTATTACTTTAAACCTGCCTTGGTAATCCAATTTAGAGCCAAGGATCAATTTACTTCATAATATTTTCAGCTTCTTGTTTGCTTTGTTCTTTCTTCCTTACCTACACGTTTGCATCATTTCCCTACCCATCATTTGTAACCTTGACCTGCACACAATCTAACTTGTACTGTAATAATTCATGTCTTCTTGCCTTTTATATAACCGTATACGGCAATTATGTGAGTGATTAGAATGTCAGAAATGTATTGTGTGAATATGCACATTATAAGTTTAAGATTAAACACGTTTTTTTACTGTGTTGTCGATATTTATCAGCAGAACTAATTGCACTGTGCCTGGACGGCTTACAAGACCCAATTATGCCTACTTAATTGATCCAGATCATAATATAAAGAATCGAGTTCCAAAGGAAACTGCAGTAAATTTTATCCCTGATCTCTGTAATTCTGTGAACAACCAATCTGATTCGTAGGTAAAATGTTAACATAACATATAGCTACAGTTAGTAAGAAGCCTATTTTCATCAAACTCTACTACGAGGGTGACAACATTATGAGGATGGTAAATAAAAGATTGAGCGCAGCCCTGTCTAGGACGTATCCTGCAGCGTTATTAGTCTCTCTCTACCCGAAATAACCTCCTCACTGGTGCAGTCGAGGATTGACAAGTACCCCTCACATGTTACTTCCAATTGCGTATACCAATTCACATGTATCTGCGGGAACAGTTACATTGGAAGAAAAGAGAGGAGAGCCTACGTCAGATTCTGCGAACATGTACTAAGGGGTCTCCGGTTAAAGGGACAGTATTGTTTAAGCTCTTCAATAGCCAAACACCTGATTGACACAGGATACCGAGTAGATGTGCTGGAATCATTCAAAATAATAATGAACAGACAAAGTACCTGAAGTCTTCTCAGGTTTTCTGAAGCTATAGCAATCAGACGATTGAAGCCTGACTTATGTGTCCGAAAAGAATCCGTTGTTGGACTTCAATTACCCTGATGACTCACTTCTTAGTAACTCTTTGTTTTCTAATTTTGTTAACTTATCTTTTCATTCCAAACCCCTCCCCTTATTTTTCGCTTGACTCTCTTAAGAGATAATTTTTCTTGATCGTTTGAGTTCTGCTCATTGTATTACATCATCAACTTCTCATCTGACCTCATGTGCACCGAAATTTTATCTTCTCTTATCTAATTACGTAGCTATTGCTAATTCTCTTCTGTTACCGCCTCAACAACACGACTGTTAATTAATTTTTTTTCAAGAAGCTATTCTCTAACAAGATACATATATGTATATGTCTTAGCACTTTAGACATCTTGTAAATCGCAACGCCTTATTTTACTATGATGCTCTGACAATACGCTTGCTAATGGACAAAGGTTTGTTGAAATTGTGCACTTTTTCATTTTATTAAAGAATTCAGGTTGTACGCAGATGATGAGAACAGACGAAATGAAATGGATTCAGATTATTCTAAGCCAATGTTTCTTCTTTCTTTGTTCAAATACATAATAAGCCTGATTATCAACGATAATACTTGTCATAATAATCGCATCTATTAATCGTATTGGTTTGTTGAAAATATGTTTCTTTTCTATCATGGTTACCAGAAATAATTGAAGTATTTAGTCCCGTGATTTAAATGTACCAAACTATATTTTAGAGCATACTTACTTTTGTCCAATTCGACAGTATCCAATATACCGGATAACATGAACCCTGACAGGCAATATACGCTGGTTGTGATGGAGCACTTCCCAATCCAGCTTTCTGGCATACAAATTCGCCTAGTTGAGCAACTCTCCAAGTTCCCTTTGATTTATCTTTTTCTCCTGCAGGTACGATATATTCTTCACAGACATGGATAACAGCTTGGCGACCTTCACCACATCGTGCTGAACAGCTACCTGTTTGCATTTCATAGGCATCATTTGATGACTTTGCTATCGGGGCTGGTTTAGCTGTCCATCGAACACCACAATAGTCAGAACATCGTCTAAGAACTGGTGGAGGCCTCGGTACAGATGAACACAGGTAATCAGCTACTGGTGTGAACAGATCAAACTCTGAGAATCGACTCTGATCTGACTCTTTAGGGACCAATGGATAGCATTCTGCATGCGTGGTAACATTCCCTAAAAAATTGTAAAATCAATAGAATTAATTAAGGCAATCTTTTGCAGAACAAGTGGTTTCTCTAGATTTTAAATTTTGTAGTCATGACCCAATAAGTCAATCTCTACGATAAAAGTAATTAAAACAACTCGTTTATTGTTTTACTGAAAAGCCATATATGCAACACATTCTTAGGTTGGCTCATTGTGCTTAACTGCAAACGGTAGAAAGTTGATATAGACATTCAGTTCTAGTCACTTTACCCCATCTATCCAACATATTTATCACAACTTTTGAGCGTCCTAATTAAGCAGTTAGAGTCTCCACGATTGTTAAGCCATCCTGAACAGTTAGTTCCTGCGATGATGTTGTTGCCTGCAGATTTTTTTTGCTCACACCACGTTTTTAAATGCAAAGGCCATTTAGAAAAAATGTGCTCGCCTAATAATAGCGTAAAATACCTTCTGAATACCACGAGGTGAGAATTATTGTTTTTTTACACTTTGTTATTCTATTAATGTAGCCTTTGACAAGAAATACTTCTGGAATTTTCTCATGCATTTACTATAAATACATGAATTTACAGCCTAGTTGATGACTTCGTCGAAAAGACAGTTTTCTTCACTGCGACCATTTTTTTTAATTATTCCTGTGATCTAATGCGTCGGTGGCACAGCGGTTAGGACGCTCGCCGACCATGCATATGGTCCGGGGTTCGATCCCCGGCCGACACACTCCCCTACGTCGCTTAGTCAGAAATAACGCAGGTAAAGAGGAAAGGTTGGGTATGAGGCTAGCAACTCCATCCTGTAAAATAAACACCACTGATACATAAACTTCAGGCCACTAGCTTGAGGCTCTATTTTCATTTGGAAACGTGAAGGAAAATAATGATCTAATGTATATATCTCGTGATTTGAAGAATACCAAATACTTTCCGATGAGGAAGGGGATGAAAAAGTTTTTTACGTTTTTATTGTCAAGCTTGCTGAGGCGAATTCAAGCACTTTCTTCTGGAAGAATATTTCAAAGCATTATGGAAGCATCTCAGGTGAAATCACATATCCCCTAACTCACGTACACCTAGACGACCCACTGATACTGTACGATGAAGACTATCTGAAGTGGAGCAGAATATCTCAGAAAACAACTCCGACGTTCTCTGTGAGATGTGTGAAGGTAAGCGAACATTATTCGAGAAGTACGTAAATTTAGCTACAAAGAAACGAACAGACGATGTCATCATGAAACTGAACAGCAGAATATTAAGCTGCGTCATCCTAGAGAAACCAAAATATGCACTGGATGCAGAACTCCCCCGGAACAAGCCTGATTCATAGAAGACAAATCATATGCGGATGAAATTGCAAGTCTACGCATCATCAACACAGAACAAAGCATAGGATGGCAGTCAAACATCTGCCTTGATTCCATCGATTCTTAAAAGCGAATCAATAGCGCTGACTGTGAGAAGTAATTTAGAGGTTACTTCAACTCCATAGAGTGCAGTGGTCTAAATCGTTACCACCCTCATTCATCAGTTATGTGATAATGCCACGTGTTAAGGGATCCACAACAGGAAACTCAGTGAAGAGTTTGAAGTGAACGCATGAGTAAGACCAGACTGCCTATTGTCATTTGTTATATTTCTAAATATGATTGACTGGGTCTTGTGGTAAGGTGTAGGGATCAAGAAGACGGAAATTTGTTGAACTTATAAGAATAGTCTGGAAGGTCTGGATTTCGCGGATTATTTATATCTGATATCAGACAGAATCCGAGATGTACATCCGAAAACCCTTTGAAACTGGTAGAAAAATCAGGCAGCGAAGGCAGGACTTCATTTGGACGTAGAGAAAACAGAGGCGATGGAAAAAGAAACCAACTAACCGACAACGAGCACCAGTCACTACCAGCGAGAGACATTTGAAAGAGGTCACTTCAGTCATCTGGGTAACAAGCATCCTTTCAACAACAGCCTACTCCACGGATAAAGATGTCGAAGCCAATCAGGATAGGAAAGGCGAGACAAGGCCTCATCACTCTGAACTCAGCTTAGAAATCTTCTGAACCCAGAATAAACAACAAAATTTTTATTTTCATTACCAATGTTAAGTCCGTTGTTCAAGAAACTTCGCGAGCCAAGAAAAGTATTTCCAACATGCCACAGCCTTTGCCAGCTCCACATTGAAGATCGGATGGCTGGTTAAAGAGAATCAGCAGCGAGAAACACTGGGAGCGAACTAGTCAGGAAGCTAGTTTTGAAGAAGTATTCCAAAGGAAATGAGTTGGAATGAACAAACTCTGTGGAGACAGTTAGGTGACAGCGCGTGCGAAGCTACCACTCGAGTGGCACCCGAATAAGAGACGACGAATTTGGCAGGTGTTCCAGGAGATTATATGAGGCAAAAATGAGACTGTCGCGCCTAAGTAAGAAGACCTTCTTCTCAGCTGAACAACGACTAACCCTCTCCACAAAACCTATGATTCATGTGAACGTGAAGGATATGCTACCACTGCTGGACTCATCGATGTGTATCTACCAATTCACCTGGTCGTGTGGAGCCAGGCATGTCAACTGTACCCAGCGTTCGCTTTCCAAACGTATCACCGAACACCTACCAGCAAGGTTTTACAAAGGAGAAAAAGGATGCTCCCCGCAGTTCCATCTTAGAACATCTAACAGATTCTGGACACCAAGCTACACACCAAACAACCTTCAAAGCCGTCTACAGAGTAAGAAGTAGTCTTCCTAAAGATGCACAAATCAGACTTCTTCAAACTGCAGTAGCAATGGCGATTCACTTGCTAAGTCCTGAACTCTGCATACAGAAGAAGTTCGTTCAATCACTACGCTTGCAATAGACGTAATCTATCTTATTGCCCGACAGATAAATTCTACCTAATCTTGTTTTCTTCCGTATCTTCATGAGTATTATTTTGTTTTTTCACTTGTAATATTTTACATTTTCAACCTTCTTGTTCTCAACCCCCAGCCGAATTAATTTCTACACATCATTACCACTGTTACTGACTTGATGAACGCTCGATTTCTAGTCATTTATGTTACGTCATCAAATTTGTTTGCTCAATTTTAGTCTTAATTTAAATGGCATTATTCTCTACCCCACTTCTATTCAGTCGCTACCTGTTGCTACGTTGCTAACTGCTCTATTACATCATCTAACTTACTAACTAACTCAATCTTACTTTAGTTGCTGTCTGATTAACCTTGTTTCTATATTAGATCATTCTTGTATTACCTGATCAATTAATTATCTAAACTTGACAAACCTTATGTACACACACACACAAAGTAGTTATATATAAATGCGATTGTACAGCTATGTGAATGAATTCGCCGTCGAAAACAGTCTCTTCGTTGAATGTTTTCTCTTTTTCAAAGATGAGAAACTATGAGGAATCGTGGGGCAGCCAAATAGGACCTCAGAGAAACCACTGAAGTGGACATGTGTTGCTGAAGCCCTCGTTCCACTCTGAACCCAAAGAAGTTGACAAAATATATGTGAATATATGTATATAATCAATGATTACCTGCACAACTGGTACAACCAACTGGTAGTTCAGTAATCCTCCAAACAAAGTATATTTGTGGTTTCTCTTGTTGGGCTTTATCACGCTCCACTTCACTTGTAACAGTGTTCTGCATAGGTGTTAATCTTTCCGATTCTTCAAATGATGAAAAAGCATTCTGAGATCTTCCAGTACGACGATTTACTCTTTCTGCAGCCAACTGAGCTTCTTTTTCAGCAACAAAGTATAATGAATTATTTTGTTGAGATTTGTCGACAAAATAACTGTATTCTACTGTCGGGAAGGATTGTGTTGTATGCGTATTTTCTACACGAATCTGTAAAAAAAAATGTGTGTAATAGTAACTCGAATTCAGCATCTCAAAGTATTTCATAATTTTTATTAAATCCAATAAAATTTCATGATTTCATTATGAGCTGATATTGGTTAGAGAAACGTTGGAAAAGGAAACTTGGAGTACTGGATGGCTGTTTCCTCCTAGTTTGAGACTGTTCATCAGGATGCCCCCCCCTGAGGTTTGAACTCAGGATCTTTGGGTTGCAGTGCTCACTAGAGACTGGCCGTATTCAGGTAAGTAGTTACCTGATTTCTGGTGAGAAGTGGTAACCAGCGGGGTACAGCAGTTAGCGTATGGAGAAAGTTACTCTCGGATGACATTGGCTAGTGGTCGCGGTATATCATGAACTGGCAGAAGTTAGAATTTATGGACTATTGGATCGTTCTACGACTTCGCCTTTTGACCAAAAGGTCTTCAGTTCAAAACTCGGTGAGTACGTACTGCTGCGGAGCCCCAGGGTGTGACAAAACAGACGTTCAATACTCCCAGATGGTTTTCCAGTGATTCTCTAACCGATGACAGCTCATTATGATGAGATCCTGAAACCAATCAAAGCCCTGCATACTAACACTAAAATACCAATAAAATTTATTCATATAGATTCACAGTTTATCCTTCCACCTGTATGCTTTGAAATCTTCACTTGAACTATTGACCAGTACACTGAACTTGGTAACAAAAGTTTTTTCTTGAAAATAATAAATATACCACTTACTGAAATTAGAACAGGACATAGTCCTTCAGCCATACTCTAATACAAAATCAAAGTTCATGCATATACAATAAAGGTGTGACAGAGCTGGGATGTTTCGTTTTGAGAACGAAATTTATACAGATACGCATCTTTCGTAGTTTCTTATCAGGCATTACAGTTAGTTAGTGAAATCATCAGGTACTGGTTTGCACTGGATACCAGTATGTTTAATGTCAAGTCGGTCCTTCTATATGGGTCAGAAAATTACACTACGCCTGCGTCACGAAAAGGATTTCCAACAGCCTGTTGCAGACTTTCGTCAACAGCTGCCTTCGTTCTACACTGAAGATAAAATGGCCAGAAAGAATTAGTAACGAGAAAATCTGGCGATGAAAGAACTAACCAAGAGCCTATCACTCAACAAATTTTGCAGGAGAAAATGCAGATGGATCGGACATACATTGAGGAGGCCGTCGAAAGACATCGGGCGCTGGGCCGTCGTCGAATGCAATTCAAATGGGAAACCACGGGTGGCTCATTGGTGTGAGAGTGATATAGATCGTGATATAGGAGATCTTGTGAGAAATAGATGAGATACTATGAGCAATCGTGCACCCCGCCAGCTGTAGTGGACAGCGGCAAATAGAAGAAAGTCGAGATGTGTTGTTAAAATCCCTATGTTCCACTAGGAACCCAAGGGAATGATAATAATAATAATGTATAATGGAATTAAAGTTTAGGCCTATGAAGTAGTAGATATAATCTAGGTGATAATAATACTCAAGTGTTGGTTTGTAGGGATTTGATTGGTTACAGGATTTCATCATAAGCTGACATCAGTTAGGGGTTACGCTATGTCGTAAATTGGCAGAGGTTAGAATTCATGGGCCTTTGGATCGGGTTCCAGTGGCTTAATGGTATACGAGCTCGCTAGACTTGTAACCAAAAGGCCCTGGGTTCGAACCCCGTCGGTGGTTGCGTACTGATGAAGAGTCCCAAACTAGGGCGAAACAGCTGTCCATTACTCCCAGGTTTTCCAATGGTTCTCTAACTAATGTCAGCTCATGATGACATCCTGTAAATAATAGTAATAATAAAGTTAAATTCATGCAAGTGTTTGTATCGTTGGCGTTGTTTTGATTATTTTAATAAATTTACCCAGACCAAAAATAGAACAATGAATTTTATCCCTGGATAAATCTGTATACCTAGATACAGCTTCATTTTGAATCTCCTATTTTTTTTGGTAACAGTACTGTGAGATCTTGAATTTCCTTTCACTACATATATTTTGATCATTCGGCCTTAGATTTCCACTTCTTTTTTGGCGTTTACATGTTTTTACGAGTTGATCAAGGATTGGTATCAGTTAGAGAACCATTAAAAACCAGGGAGTACTGGACAGCTGCTATTTCATCCAAGTTTGGGAGTCATCGGCAGTACTCACCAACTAGGATTTGAACTCAGGACCTTCCGGTTACAAGTCAAGCTCGTATACCATTCATCCACCAATGGGACCCGATTCAATAGCTCTTGAATTATAACTTCTACCAGTATACATATTTATAAACTTCTTCATAAAGTCTTGTGCGTCGGTGGTATAGCGGTTAGGACACTCGCATACCGTGCATATGGTCCGGGATTCGATCCCCGACCGACGCACTCCTTTACCTCGCTAACCCAGAAATAATGCTGGTAAAGAGGAAAAGGTTTGACATGAGGCTAGCAACCCCATTCTGTAAAATAAACATTGCTACAGAAACTTCAAGCCACTAGCTTGAAGCTCTATGTTCCACTGGGGAACGTGAAGGATAAATAAATAAAAAAAAAATCATAAAGTCTTGAGATTGTCTAAGAGGAGTGACATTTTGCTTAATATATTTTGTTTATTCACAAATGAGATTCCTGCATTGTCTTGTTGGACATTTAATTAAATCTGGTGATACTGATACTTCATAGCAAGATACAATCACTGTCTATTAATAATGTCAAAACTCTTGTGTGTTTTGGCATCATCTTGTATTCACAATTATCTTTTGTGTCCAAAAATACCACTTGGTATTTTGAAGTTGATCTGACAAATTGACTTAATACATAAATATATATATACATTAAAATAATATAACTGATTAAGGATGACAGAGCTAAAAAAAAAATAAATAAAATAACTAAGCGTATCATTGACGCGACGCTCATAGATGATATCCGACATCTGTAGGCCGCTATTCTGTTAACATAACTGATACGATTTGTTTTGCTAAACTAGACAAATTATGCTTCATATCATAAGATATATACTCATATTTAGTTCGGTAATAGTCGAGTTTATAATTTTGTTTTTGGCGTTGACCACGGATTGATATCAGTTAAAGAATCATTGAAAACTAGCACTGGAGTACTGGAAAGCTTTTTCATCATCTTAGTCTGGGAATTATCGAAAGTAAAAACACCCACAACGACCTTCCAGTTACAAGCCAAGCTAACTCGTATACCATTCAGCCACCACGGGAACACGACTCCTCAATGGCCAGCCAGCCAACCCATAAAATTCTAACTTCTACCAATTCGTGATGAGTTTAGCGCGACTGGCGCCAACCAATATCGTCGGTGGGATATCGATTCTCACACTTGACTGAATGAATCAGCTCACTGGTCATGACTGTCTCACTAAGACTTCAGAAGAGTTCATCCTGTAGCAAGTCACTAGTGAGCATCAGATTAACTTTCTATAGTTGGTTTGTAAAAGTTAGTTTTGTTTTTACTAGTTGATCAGGGAGTGATATCAGTTAGAGAGCCATTGAAAACCAGGGAGTACTAGAGTAGTGAGCAGTTGTGACCAGTGAGGTCCATTCAGATGTCACGGGTGAGAATGGATGTCCCACCGATGACACTGGTTGGTGACAGTCGAGAATTAGTAGAAGTTGGATATCATGGGTTGGCTGGCCAGCGAACAGTCGGGTTCCGATCGTTACATGGTGTCACTTGACAGGAGACTCTACATTTAAACAGTGTTCAGAAATCACACATATTATACAGCTCATAAGTGTAAAATTCAAGTTTAAGTAAAAATAAATGCTGGATATATATATAGGTGAAGAAGTTACATAATAAAGTTTCTGTGATTTGAGTTGAACTCATTGCACCGTTATTCAATTTATTATTTTTTCATCATCTCATTCATTCTTTGTCTTAAATAAATAACTCCTTCATCATTGTATACAGGCACCTATTTATTGTTTAAACTTAAATTTTTGGGGTATAAGCTATACAAGTTTGATTTCTGAGTATTTTTTCTATTGAGTCTGGAACCGATGATATTAAATGGTTGGAGGCGATCGACTACAGGAAGGAAACCTTGTCTGAACTTAGGTTTCGTGTTAGTTGACACTCGCCAGTAAGACGTTTCTGCAGTATTGAATAAACTCATGTTTCTTCTTAGATTCAAACCCGCGCCACCCAGTGCTACAGTAAGAGAGGTTACCACATAGCTATTCAGTCAATCGATTGACCTCCTGTAGGACTGTATTGGCTACTTCGGTTGGACATTACTTAGTAAGCTGTTTGTTTTCGGAGCAGTTGAATTCCATCAGTCAAGTTGGCAATTCGGTCACTATGACAGTGACAGAGCACAAAAACTAAGTAGTACCAAAGAAAATCTAATAGAGGAGGTGACACATATAAGAGAAGCCTTGAAACTTAATAATGCCCCTGATAAATTATTCAAGAAATATGTAGGAAAATGTAAAAATAAAATAAATAATGTTAGTAGTGATAGTGATAATGATAATTACAATTATAATTATAATAATAATATTATTTACGACATGTATATCAGATATGCGCAAGACAACGCCAAAAATAAGGAATCTAAACCATACAAGGAAGGAACCTCGGAAACCACCTTATGCAGAATTCTTAACAGGGCAGGAATAATAGTGGCTTGCATTCAAACCCACAAACTGAGTTAGAAACAAGTTTTTTCGGTTAGTGGGTTCTGTCGAGCCCTTAAAGTAAAACAATTTAGTTTATCTAATACCATACCTGAAATGATTGTTAGGTCAAATTCATAGGTCAAACCAGGAGAACAGGGGTAGTCAGACTAGCCGATCATAAAAACCCAGCAAAATCTAGATTGGTTGGCCCGAATAAGATAAGAAATCTAGAGAATAGTTCTACTAGCTATAGCACTATATGCGGTTACACACAACCATACAATAGAATGGGATAGGATGAGAGTTTTAAAATCTAATGTCACAGCAGAGTGGAGGGAGAAATTGATAACAAAAGCTTTGTTTATCGAATCAGCTGCAAATACACGTAACAGGAATGATTCATCACCTGCCCATCCAGATATCTGGAAAATTCTACTACCTCAACGACAATAAGTAAAATAGGACAAAGGAAACTATTAGACTCAAGTTTTGAAGTCGTGTGATTATAAGTGATGAAGTGATTATGAACAAAAATTTGTGTAAAAAACGTCATCCAGTAAATACTAATACTGTTTAACTGTGTGATACATCTAATAAATAAAATAATATGGGATTCACATTTAATGTGATCCGTGGTTCAATCCCCAGTCAACGCATTATTAAACCTCACTAAGCTGTTAATAATGCCACTAAAGATGGAAGGTTAGGTTTTCGGCTAGTAATATCCCTCTCGTAAAAGTAAAATCACTCTAAATGAAGCCCAGTGTTCCATTCAGAACTCAAAGGTATAAAATAAAATCAATATTAACTTTATGATAATAATATTATGCTATTATATTCACACTTCTTTTAACTTACAACAATATTTACATCTTTATTCAGTCTTCCAGTAATAGAGACAATTTCTTCACGGCTTCGACTTCCACTATAGTAGAGTTCAGCGCCTGCAAATGGTTCTCGTGTTTCACCCCTGCGTATTTGAGTCTTCAATTCTTCAAATATCACTTAATCACAATTGAAAAGAAAGAAGTTGACAATTAAATAAACAAATAACTTTTGATTACTTGATAGGTCAAGAGAGTTTCTGCTGTAAGCGTAAAACCTTTAGGTGTTTCACATTCATGGAATGTTGTAACGTGATAGATGCTCTATACATATGGCAGAATTTTTACTAACTGCTCAAGGGAAATCTGTCTAAAGTTGATCAGTAGTTTATCATGATTTCAGCGGACAGCAAAGCGAAACTGTTATGCCTGTGATAATACTGGATTTGCTTTCATTCCAGTGATGTTTCAATGCACTACAATATACGACTTCCTTTCCGACTACTAATGAAAGAGACGGGGATGACTGACTGAAAGAAAAGCGTTTATTTCTACAGGGATGTGGTTATGTTTGCTTAGCTGGATAGTTAATTCGTGAAGCTTTCATTGCCCTGTTAGGCAGCATCTTCAGCGCACACTCCAATTTGAAGACAGAGAGCTTTTAGATTTCTCCACGAGTTTATTAATCATCTCTCCCGGTGACCTTGGACATAATTGGTTGTTTTTGTGTGTTTTCACACCTTCTAGGTTACTTGTTTTGGTGTTGATTGTTTCACTGACTTAAATTTTGACCCTTTGTGTGTGAGATTTCCTTCTTATCGGTTGATAAATTGTGTCCATCCCAATGTGTCTATTGATTGACGATTCACTGGAATACCAGGCTTCATAAAATTCTCTAGCATTCTTGGTGTTTTCTCTGTCTAATATTTGAAACCCCGTTATCCCAGTTGAATTAATATTCGTGGTTGTCTTCATGCAGTGAGGTGAGGCTTGCTTATGTTCATGGATATGAAGACGAAGAGGGGGACGTCCACTTTGGCCAATGTATTGTTTTTCTCAGTTGTTACAATTTATTTTGTAGATTATGTTGGTTTTATCTTCTTTCACTGTTGAGTCTTTTGGTTGACATACAGCTGCATGGAATTATTTCGTTGGTTTGTGTGCAATGTCAATTCCTAAAGGTTTGAAGAGTGTTGCAGTAACTTCTGAGGTGTTTTTTTATACAAGTTAGGGTGATTTTCTTTGTGCTTTTCTTGGGGTCCTTTGATTCAACGGGATGGTTTGAGAGTATATGTCTTTTGACGAAATCCCGTGGATATCCACGGAAATCCAAGTATGCTCTGAAGATGTTGTCTAGTAGGGCAATGAAAGCTTCGTAAATAAACTACATCTAAATCATCCACCTGAACTTTAAATCTTCTCCATCATATCAAAAAGCAGTTTCATCAGAAATCATAGTTATTTATACCCTTGCTTTATATGACCAATAATTACAAGTCTAAAATATGCAAACCATGTTCTGATTGGATATTACGTACCACTGAAACTCCCATGGCCTGACCACTAATCTAGATATCAATCGAGTGTCCAGTTTGCAGATCGCTTCAGATATAATGGACTCATGGTATCTAATCTCCTGTTCTAAAGAAAACCAAGATAGATTTCCCAATCAAATGGCAGATAAAAGGTGATTCATCAAAATAATAGGTGGCTGTTAGTGGATATAAGTTCCAATAAATGCCAAGTTGATTTTTGAGTAAATACGCCTGCTCTAGTTCCCAGCTTTCTCGACAAAACAGTCTATGGATTCCAGATATTGATGTGATTAAATAATGATATAAATATGTGGGATAATAGTTAACTTCATTCGCTTTTGAATAAGGCATTTAGAAGATAAATTTAGCGAGATGATATCGTCATTTCGTAGTTTCTTTACAACCGCTTCACAACCAACACGGTTAACAATAATAAAATAAAATAAAGTGCATGACAATCACTAAGTTAAATAAAAAACAAAAGTACATACTAATGACCAATAATATTTAAGTAGGTCATGTAGTCCATGGTAGGCGAAGATTGAAATCTATTGTTTTTTTTGTACACACAGTTTAGGCTGTATGTGATTAATCCAAAGTGCTTCCATCAACTTCAATAACCAACCCTGAATTAGAGTTATGTGAAATAATTGCGAAACAGTCATTAATATTGATTATGTGACCTGACATTAATAAGTGCTTTGCAATGGATGATGATGACGCTGGATTTCTATTCAGATTAATCGCATTGGGATTTTCTATATGATTTAGTAGCCATTTGGGAACATGTTCTTTTCGACGACATTGGAACATTCTGTTGGTGTCACCGCAGCTGCAGGTGAACTTGTAGATACAGTTTGAAGTAGAGTCCACAGAATTTCGTCCTTTAATCGTAGGTAAAGGGATGGAAAATGTTCTGTATGTGAGGGAAGAGATGCAGCGTAGAATGTGCGTTTGATGGCTTACTGAAGTCTTTAAGCTAGCTGTCAACTGCATAATCCGGTTGCCCTTGAATGGTAGGTTAATAAAGATAGCTTTCTTTGGTACAGAAGCTATCTTTTCAAGATGTGGTTTTTCTTTACTATGACAATTGATAAAGTTTTCCGGATAACCATTAGCTAATAAAACTGAATGTATATGTCGAAACTCATCCATCAATGTGTCACTCTTGCATATTTTTCTGGCCCTTGAGAACAAATAATCCACTAGGGAAGGTTTATACTGGATAGGAAAAAAGCTGGTAAAATGAAGATATTATCCACTCCATGTCTTTTTATGAAAAATAGATCACTGAATTGTTCCATTCTCTCTCCTAGTCATTGTAATATCCAGAAAACCGAGTTGTCTATTCGATGGAGTTCGGAAGTCACTCGGATATTTGGATGAATATGATTAAATAGGGTATTAAAGTTTTCAATAGATTTACTATTATTATCAATAATGAGAGTATCATCTACATAGCGTTTATATAGTAAAAATTCTCCAAGCATACCTGGCATTTGTTTCTCCAATTTTGACATGAATATATCTGCTGACAGGCGCCCAAGAGGGCTCCCCATCGCAATACCATCGATTTACCTGCATGCCTTTTCTTGGAAGGTGAATCTAATATTTTCTGTACACATTAAGATGATGTCTCTGATGTAAGTGGCAGGAATGGGTACGTTTATCCCATTGCTTGTGATGTAAACGCAAATGAAATCAATAGTTTCATGAAGAGGAACATTGATGAAAAATGATTCTATGTCAATTGAACACATAACCTTTTCCTTAATGTTCAAGGTGTCTAGCATATCTGCATTTCAGATCAAATGAACTTTTTACAGAATGATTTGATAATGAGTCTCTTACAGGTTTTAATTTAACTGAATGATTGTAATTAACTTAATTTTATTACTGTACAGCATGTTAGCTGTAAAGCGGTTGTAAAGAAACTACGAAATGACGATATCATCTCGCGAAATTTTTAATGCCTTATTCAAATTTATCAAAAGGACTAATTGTTTTATTCGCTTTTTTCCATTTCTTTAAATTGTTTTGTTCGAATTAATGGAAAATGGCTGAATTTTTAAATACATATGCAATGTTTTTTAAAAAAAACTCTTGAAGAAGCATTAACTTAAGAAATAAATAAAGTTTGATCAGCATTAATTCGAATAAATTGACTCATTATGTAATAACTTACGCAACATGAAATCATCATATGAATCTGAAGAGTATGGAGTACTTCGATCGGAAACTTTTCTGACGAATGCATTTGTAACTCCCCTAGGAATACGAACAGCTGTGATTAAGCCTAGAGAAAATATTTAAAAAGGTTCACAGTACATTTTCTTTTAAAAACTGAGTTCAGCTGACTTAATGAATCGAGATAAACATTAGTAGCAGCAAAACTTACCACGTAGATGTACACCAGGTGAAGTCATTGCATTCCCGTTGAAAACACCTTTAATTTCTTCACAGGTACTGTTATCCCCACCACAAACTCGACAACGATCAAAACGTAGTCGAGAGCCAAGGATACCATCACAACCTGTTTCCTGAAAAACAAAACAATACAAAAGAGACATAAAAAGTTTTAGGGATAGTCCATGATGATGAATAGAACCTGGAACCACCAAACGTTCATGTGCTCCGCATGTGTGATTTGTCAAAATAAAATCTTATCCATAATGGAGTTATACTCTACCACCCCAGTGCTCAAGTTTTATACTTATCTCAGTAACTTTGAAGACGACTTTGTCGATGGTGAAAATTTTTTTCGCTGGACTGTCGTTTATCTCCTTCATGACCTAGTGGGTATTTAAGGTTTTTTAAGGTGAAATATTTATCAGAGTTGTTTACCATCTTGATATACTTACTGTCTAATCTGTAAACTTATGATAGCTTTTTTTAGATTCCGGTTTTTATACAAATTCAAATTGTTTAAGTATTGGTTTTTGTGAGGATTTAATTTGATTGGTTGGAAAGTTTCATCATAAGCTGATAACAGTTAGAGAAACATTGGAAAACCTGCAGGGAGTACTGGACAGCTGTTTTTCTCGTGCTAGTTTGGGACTCTTCATCAGTGGTTGATAGGATCCCACATATTTTGGTATTGACTGTTTAATTTTGTATATATGGTATATTATCATTCTCACACATTTTGGTAGTGACTGCTAATTTTGTATATATGGTATATTATCATTCTCACACATTTTGGTAGTGACTGCTAATTTTGTATATATGGTATATTATCATTCCCACACATTTTGTTACTGACTGTCAACCTCGCACATATGGTATATTATCATCTCTCACGCACTTTGTTATTGGCTATTAAGATAAATTATTTCAAATGCTGTTAGCTGTCCATATTGTTGTAAAATGTATAAATACCATGGCTTTCTTTATCGTTGTTGCACTTCAATACACAGTCACAGTCCAGCCTTTGTCTTTTGATATTTGCGTGCTTTACTAAATCGGAAGGTACGACAAGCAGATAGGCAGATTAGTTCAGGCGCAGACAGAATAAGGTGAAAACGTCTTCATTCAATTCCCTACAGTTATAACAAATTGGCGACGGGGTTTTACCTTAATTCAGTGCAGTTATAACAAATTGGCGACGGGGTTTACTTAATTCATCGCAGTTATAGCAAGCAAACGACGACAGTTTTTATTCTGTTCAGCGCAGCTATATAACATTTTTGACTGTGTTAATTACAACCCAATTACAATGTCTATCTCTCTGGACGATCTCAAATCTATCTTGCAGCAGCAGCAAGTTCAGAATGAAGCAGCTCAACTAAAATTAATCGAAGCTCTCACTCAGAAGCTGTCCATTCAAGTTCCATCAACATCTCATTCTGACAAATATGAAAGCATCTCAAATTCCATCAGTGAGTTCAACTACGACCCAATATCTGGTCTCGTATTTGATGCATGGTTCAATCGTTACGAAGACGTTTTCCGTATTGAATGCTACATGTTTGATGATGCTGCCAAAGTCCGATTGTTACTAAGAAAACTTGGTACTGTTGAGCACAACAGATATGTTAACTTCATTCTGCCCAAGAACCCACGTGAGTTATCATTCGATGAGACAGTCACCGTTTTATCACAAATCTTTGGTGAACAGTCATCCATGTTTAATATTCGGTATCAATGTTTTCAGTTGACAAAAATGCCTTCCGATGATTATGTGACTTACGCTGGCAAAGTGAACAAGGAATGTGAAAGGTTCAAACCACACGAAATGACATCAGATCAGTTCAAGTGTTTGATTTTTATTTGTGGGTTGAAGAACCCAGAAGATACTGACATACGAACTCGACTTCTGTCACTTGTGGAACAAGACCCGAAAATGACTTTACAAATGGTGACAGCAGAATGCCTACGTTTAATCAACTTGAAGCACGATACTGCTATGGTGGAGTGCAAACGACAGTCGTCTGAATTTGGTTCGATTAACACAGTGAAAAGTCCTCCGATCACCGTTAAGCACACAGAACGTCAGTCTCAAAATTCAGCTAAACCTCCTTCAGTGTGCTGGCACTGTGGTTCGTGGCATTTTGTCAAGTTCTGTCCTTTCAAGAAACATAAATGCCGTAATTGTCACCGTTTTGGACATAAGGAGGGTTACTGTCCACCGCAGAAAAATCCTTCGGTGAGGAACAGAAGTAGTCGTTTCGAGCCGAAACAATCTCCTCGAGTACAGACCGTTTTCACTACTTCCAAAGTCGAGTTCGCCAGCAAACGTAAGTACATAACACTAGATATTAACGGCAAACGTATTCGTCTTCAGTTGGATACGGCATCAGATATCACCGTAATTTCCCGAACTACGTGGCGCAAACTTGGTTGCCCACAGATTCTGCCGACCGAGCATGTCGCCAAGAATGTCTCTGGAGATATACTGAAACTTGTGGGTGAGATAAATTGCCAGGTTCAGTTTGGTGAGCATCACTTCAATGGTGTATGTTACGTTACAAACTACCATGATTTGGATTTGCTTGGTCTTGACTGGTTAGACAAGCTCCATATCTTTAATGTACCATTAAATTCAGTATGCTCTAATGTTTCGTCTTCACCACACAACGTTGTTCCCGGAGATGTATCTGATCAATCTCTCTTGCAACGCCGTCGTCAAAAGCACGCTTCTGTCTTCCAGGACAAACTTGGTTGCTGCAAACTGTTTGGCATCCAGCATATTCGTAGCCCCCCGTATCATCCCCAATCGAATGGACAGACTGAACGTTTCGTCGACACCTTAAGCGTGCTTATGCAAAAGCGAAGGGGGAGGGAACAACAGAAGAAATTTTGGATAAATTCTTGCTGCATTATCGTACGAATGAAAAAGGACAGTTATGTGTCAGACACACAGATCACGCTCTATCCAGTACCACGCAAAGGTCAACTCGACAAAGAAGAGCTCCGAAACCTTTTCAAATAGATCCAAAAAGCAAGTCCTACACTCTTTACGGGGGGAGGTGATAGGATCCCACATATTTTGGTATTGACTGTTTAATTTGCATATATGGTATGTTATCATTCTCACACATTTTGGTGTGACTGCTAATTTTGTATATATGGTATATTATCATTCTCACACATTTTGGTAGTGACTGCTAATTTGTATATATGGTATATTATCATTCTCACACATTTTGGTAGTGACTGCTAATTTGTATATATGGTATATTATCATTCCCACACATTTTGTTACTGACTGTCAACCTCGCACATATGGTATATTATCATCTCTCACGCACTTTGTTATTGGCTATTAAGATAAATTATTTCAAATGCTGTTAGCTGTCCATATTGTTGTAAAATGTATAAATACCATGGCTTTCTTTATCGTTGTTGCACTTCAATACACAGTCACAGTCCAGCCTTTGTCTTTTGATATTTGCGTGCTTTGCTAAATCGGAAGGTACGACAAGCAGATAGGCAGATTAGTTCAGGCGCAGACAGAATAAGGTGACATCGTCTTCATTCGATTCCCTACAGTTATAACAAATTGGCGACGGGGTTTTACTTTAATTCAGTGCAGTTATAAAAGTGGTCACCCACTGGGGTTCGAGCTCACCTTGTAACCAAAACATCCTGGGTTCGAACGCTGGCGGTGGGTGGGTACTGCTGAAGAGTCGTGAACTAGCACGAGAAAAACAGCTGTCCAGTACTCTCTGCAGGTTTTCCAATTTTTCCCGAACGGATATCAGCTCATGATGAAATCATCCACCCAGTCAAACTGTTTAGTAAAAACAGCCTATAAACCAGATTACCGGTTTTAGAAAGTCTACTGAGTTATAAGGTAGTATTGATCATTTTGTTTCATTCCCTTACGTTCTAGGTAGAACATAGGATTTCGGGTTAGAAATTTGAATTTTCCAGTAGAAATAGTTCAGTTTCCTTGGTGAGGTTGATAACCTCACACAAACACAACCTTCCCTCTTTACCGGCCTTATTACCGACTTGGAGAAATATAATGGAGTGAGTCGACCAGGAATCGAACGCCCGACCAAGTTAGGCGTTGTTGACAAGCGATCTAACACTGAACCACCGACAAACACCATATAAGGTATAAAGCTGACGTTACTTTGACAATATATATATATACTAACCCGCATCAACCTGGAGAGAATCAAACAAGCCACCCTGGATGAAAAACTTTGACCGGAACAAGCTGGATTCAAGAGAAACAAGTCAGGTATTGATCAAATCGCCACTCAACGGCTCATCATTGAACAAAGCTTGGCATGGCAGTCACATCTCTATCCCAACTTCGTCGACTTTGAAAAAGCCTTTGACATAGTCGATCGAGAGGAGATTTGGCAACTACTTCGTTACTACGGGGTGCCGCCGACAAGTATGCATCTCATCCAACATTCGTACGACAATGCTGCATGCCAAGTAATCCACAACGGGAAACTTACGGAATCCTTCGAAGTGAGAACGGGAGTAAGACAAGCTGGCTGCCTACTATCGCCAATGATTTTCCTGATTGCAGCAGATTGGATAATGCGGCAGACAGCAGGCAATCAGGAAACAGGCATAAAATGGATCCACACAAAAACTTGGAGGATCTGGACTTCGCCGATGGTGATATATGTCTGATTTCCCACAAAATGGAAGATATGCAAATGAAAAGCAACAAGTTGGCTGAAGGAGCATCAAAAATATGAAGGACTTCAGGTGCGCATAGAGAAAACAAAGGTGATGAAGATTTTTGGCCAACAGGAACAGCAACTACAACAGAGTACAATCAGAATAAATGGCAGAAATCTGAAAGAAGCAACCTCCTTCACCTACCAGCCTACCTACCTGGTAACCATTGTTTCAACTACTAGACGACGGAACTGACGAGAATATCAAAGCAACGAGGATCGGGAAAGTAAGACAAGCTTTCATTACTCTCAAGTCTATGTGGAGGTCAACAGCACTCAGCATGAAAATGGAAATACGATCCGGATTTTCAATTCCAATGTGAAGTCAGTGCTTCATTACACGGATCAGAGACTTGGCGCGTCAGAAAGAGCACCTCAAACAAACTACACAC